GTGAGAATTGGTGATGGCGGTTTTGTAGTAGCACAAAATTTTACCTGCGGCTAATGATTCCTTGTTCTTTCTGGTGTTGCCGTTCAATTAGTTTCTCGGCCGTAGTACGCTCCCTGCCCTTCGCAGCAGTTCAGAATGTTATTGTTCACAATGTATTGCATCGTAAGTGGAGCTTCAGGCTCTGGATCGGAGTCGAACCCTACCCCGGGCTAAATGTTGAAGGGAGGATAGAACGATCGGCTTTGATCAATCCCTTTCTGAGCTGCGCACGGCTCACTAAAATTTCATAAATAAAAAATCGCTGTGGTACATGAATGCGGCTCGACCCATACAATGACTTGCGGTGGCCAGCCGTTGTATCGGTCGGTGTTTTTATCCTCCCAGACTAATCCAGTCCTGGTTAACCGGCCCGGATAATGGATGACTCCACTGAACTGGCTATAGCCCAGAATTTGGTCTCGGGCCGTGCACATGCAAGGCGGCACCACTTGCCACTACGCTAGCAAAGTGCTTTCTCAATGTCAGTTTTTTTAAGACTATCTAATTCACGAGGTTTTCAGGAAATGCTCACACCTTGTATCGGTCAGTATGGGACAAAATTCTCAGTCTGCCGGACGACTTCATTCTCTACGTAGGACACAACTATAATGGGCTTCTTCAGACATCGGTCTGTAGACTTGCTTCTGTTGTTTTTTTTTCAATTTCTTCTGAACCTTGGTAGTGCTCTTTTTCGTGTTAGTAGACACTTCCACCACTAAAAGTTCTGAGGTCTCTAACACATTTGAAATTCTTCTTCTCCACATACGGATAATGACTATTCGAATTCATTTCTTGTAAGAGGGTTCCACTCCAAGTCTTTTCTTTGCAGGAGGACATGGTCAAAAGTCATTTTGGAGAAGTGCCCTTTCATATAGGCAGGCAATATGGCCCCGCCTGATCCAGGCTCTCCACTTATTTTTTGCCATCGATTACGAAGATCTTGATTAAAATTCAACAGTGGTTCCATTTCTTCTATTTTTCCCTATTGAAGCTAAAACAACTTTACTCTAAAGTCTCCGTGAAGAGGGGTTACACAAGAAACGAATCGTGATTCAATGAGGAGCACTTGGCTGACGTGTGCCAAAGTCGATCGAAATCACAGCGTTTCTTTTCACAAGGTCTGTAGTTTGTATCTTTCAGGTTGCTGAAGAGAAACGGTTCAATCCGCGAATGACCAAATCCGAGGACGAATTCGTAGAACTCATGAACAAGCTCAACCTTGAATACCCCAAACAAAT